GTCGACCTCCACTTCAGTGACTGCTCTAATCTCTTTACATCCATCGCCCGACTAGATACTGACTTCGAAAGCACGTTCTCCATTATACACACATGTTAAGAAGTCTCCATCGGTAAGAGAATTTAGTCCATCCTTTTCCAAAATACACCTCTTCTTGCTTCTTCTTTATCTCTATAGCTACCTTCCAAATGCATCCACCAGAACCTCGGAGAATCGCGGTTTTGGGCAAAAGACGGGGAAGTTCATCGTAGTAGACAATGGGAATCAGCTGCTCAATACAATAAAATTAGCACAAACTGTTAACCAAGCAAATACACAAAATAGGGACTTTAAAATCCAACTCAGAACGCAACCTCTCTCTTAGACAGAGACTATGCACACATAAAAGGTTTGGTTTTGTGAACTTCTTTTTCTTTCTATAAGATCACATTCATGGCCCAGAAAAAGTGACAGAGAACAAAAACATGTGTTTTTATCTATGAACAGATCCTAATCAAGAAACAAATCTGAGTACAACTACCAAGTGCACACATCTTTAGTGAAAAATTCATAAATGAAACTGATTATTATGCTAAAAATATAACATCTTTAACAACGTTACAACTCAAATCAGAGGAATGAAGCAAAAGCTATGAAACAGAGCAAACCCCAAGAAAGACAAACACAGAAAGATCTATACAAAAGCCTAAATGTAGATAAAGCCAAAGAAACAAAACAGGATTTGCAGTGTAAGAAGAGACCAAAAAACAATATTAAAGCTACGAGAGAGAACAAAGTACATAATATTACCATAGAACCTGAGCTAGAATGGGAATTGAAAACTTTGAAGAAACGTGGAGGAGTATCATCATCTTCCATTGCACAAAGATGATGTCAGAGAAACAGTTTCTTCAGGAGACCAAAAAAAGGAAAAAAAAGAGAGGTACTAGTTTACAATTTTGATCGCTAAAACAATTTTCAATAAAGCCCCGCAATTCCTACTAAATTACAAAGAAGATGAGTTTGACTCTTTGACTTGACATGCGATTCTATTGATTGGCTCGTACGTAAAATCCGAACCGAAAAAACCGAATCAATTTTACCCAAACCGAACCGAGAGGAAACAAGGGTAAAAATGAAATTCAACAACAGTCATGCTCAAACATATGCAAGTATCAATAAAAGACTTGTTGAAATACTTAATAGCTTCTTGAGTTTCTTGTTCGCTACGATATCCAAATTGTCTACCTTTACCATCCCTGCAAAACCAACCAAAACAATAGTGACTCCCGTTATTTAACAAGCATCAAACACAAAATTTAGTTTGGGAAAGAAACTCGATTTGAATATAGTTTAGTAGAACTAGCACTTGGAACAGATTAATTTCACGTATGTGATTTCTCCTTTCTCTGAAATGACATCTCTAAGTCATTGATTGATTGATTTCTTCAGTTAAAGGAATTGTTTGTTTATAGGAACCTAAATTACCTAATACTTACATTCTTTGTCTTAATAATGAAAGAGCTCGTTAGCTGCACCGGCCTCTGCTGATTCAAGGAAAACAACCTCAAGGTCATATGTAAGGACAGGTTAGAGAACAATCAACTATTCCTCGAAAATATCCAAGTGGAACAAAACACATGTATAGAAAGAAAAGAATACCAAGGCCGGAGGGAGGATACTTTTTCCTAGATCTCCAAATTTTTCAAACATTTGAGCTAGTTCCTTTTCAGAAGTAGCAAATGACAAATTCTTCACTAAGAGATGTATGCTTCGAATCTTCTCTTCTATGTCTTTCCCTGTAGCAAATTCGTCCAAACATGTGACATTTACTCCAGCTTTAGCAAGTGCTTCTTTGGTCTCTTCAATCACTTTTGCTTCTCCCAAAGCAAGTCATACAGCAGGATCTTCAGATTCACGGTCAAGTAACTCACTCTTGCTTACATTACACATCCTGACCATGTTTTTGTTGGAGTAATGCAGACACTGGGTGAAACAGAAGAAAGATAAAGAACAGAAAAAAACAGAGAAGATTATCAAAACTGAATCACACTACATGATTATATAGTAAAATAAAATGTAACACCTACCCCATTAAACCATGGACTCATTATGTCTTATAA